CGCAGGTGCCGCAGACCACCGCAAGCCCCTCCCTCTGCCTGCGTCTCAATGCAGCACCAGGAAGCAGCAGGTGGAAATCCAGGGCCTCAGAGAGATCACGGACATTAAAGTGCTAAGCAGATACAAGGCATGGATCTTTATATTCATCTTTTATAGACCAAATCCTTTTGTACCCTCCCCCCTAACAGGTGCAGGCTACCTAGGAAGGCCCTGGTCCCACTCCTTCCTCCTCTCAACGAATCCTAGCCTCAAGCTGTCTGGCTCTTAAAACAAGCCCCTCTGTTTGGGGGGTTTTAGAGGCAGCTGGAAGGGGACCCCAATCACCCCAACTCCTTCCAAGTCGGGGGAGTCAGGGAACCCTATTCTAAGGCAGCCTTGAGCAGTGATGTCTGCCGGGGTGTTGGGGGCGGTGGGGGTGGGGAAAGACCAGGAGGAAGACTCTGGGTGCCGGATCCTGAAACTCCCTTGGGCGTGAGACCAGAAACCTGAACCCCAGGCCCCCCACCCCGCCCCCCAAGCCACCGTCCGGAAAAAATAAACTATTTCCTGCAACCAGCTCCGAAACAAAGTCTGTGAGTGAGCTGTGACACATGTTACATAAATAGAAGCCGCAGAGGGGAAAAGCCTGTTTTCTCTTTCATTATTTATCACTCTCTAACCATCTCCAGCTGGGTGAGTAAACAGGCGCATTGGCCCATAATGAGGAACAGACTGCTGCCGTGGGGCTGCCAGAGGGTGAGAGTGTATATGCATGTGTCTGTCTGTCTGTCTGTCTGTCTGTCTGTCTGCTCCTGAGAGGGAAGAGTGGGAGTCTGCGATGGAGAAGGCTGTGGGGCACCTGACTGCAGACAGCAGGGGATTATTCACCTGGAGCCCTGGCTGGGGGTGGGGCACAGTGGCTGCAACTCTCCACCCAGAGGGTTGGCTGAGGATGGGGTGGCTGGATGGAGAAGGAGTCAGAAGGGGAGAGACTGTGTGGGTGGGAGAGGATGTGAGAGGTATGAGCCAAGTGTCAGGCTGCGAATGTGCCAGGTCTCAGAGCATGACCCCCAAGGGGTGGCCTCTGAGTGTGGCCAAGGGGATGTGTGTGAGTGGGCTGGGGCAGGAGGGCTTGTGAAAGAGGAGTGTGACTGTGCTGGGTGTGGAGGACTGTATGTAAAACTGGGAGACCGAGGGAGAGTGAGTGTATGTGATGATGCGGCAGTATGTGAGTTCACGTATGGGTGCGTGTGTGTGTGTGTGTGTGTGTGACTGTATATGTGTGATCCTAGTGGTATATATGGGTATGTGTGATTTCGTGACTATGGCAATGTATGAACGTGTGAATGTGCATGTCTGTGTGACTTTGATAGTTTATACAGCTGTGTGTAACTCTAGGCGTGTGCTAAGTACATGAGAGGTTTTATGGCCATAAGATGCTGTTATGGGCTGAACTGTATCCACGAACAAACAAACAAACATGCTGAAGTCCTCACCCGCAGCACCTCAGAGTAAGATCTTATTTGGAAACAGGGTCACAGCAGATGTAATCAGTTAAGTTGAGGTCATACTGAAATAGGGTACCTCTCTGCAATATAACTAGTGTCCTGATAAAAAGATGTTCATGTGAAGACACAGAGACCCATGTCCCTGTAAAGACAGAAGCAGAGATTGGAGTAATGCGTCTACAAGCCAAGGAACACCTGGGGTCATCAGAAGCTTGCAAGAAGCTAGCAAGAGGCGAGGAAGGATCCTTCCCTACAAGTTTCGGAAGGCACCTGGATTTTGGACTTCTCCAAAAGTGGGAAACAATAAAGTTCTGTTGTTTTCAGCCACCTGGTGTTTGCTGCTTCGCTATGGCAGTCCTAGGAAACGAACACTGGCGTTTATGAACATGTCGTATGAGCTTGGGAACGTGGGAAACCATGGGAGTGTGTGTGTGCGCGTGCATGTGTGTGATCCTTGTGGTGAAGATGGGTGTGGGTGTGACTATCTGACTGTGGGAGTGTGTACATACATGTCTGAGAACAGGGAATGTGTGAATGTGTGTGTTCGTAGGTAATGCCACACACTCTCTTGGCTTCTAAGTATTATCCCAGAAAGGAACCCAGCAACCATCCTTCACTTCTGGCTGCCTCTGTACACCCCAGACCCTGCCCTGACCTTGGGCAGCTCAGCCTGAGGTGAGTCAGCCTTGGAGGAGGACTGAGACAGTCCTGTGGAGGGCTACCCAAGCCTGTCCCTGCCCTGGAGTCACCCAACATCAAGATTTAAACCCTGCCCTGGCCCACAGAACCCGGAGTGCTCATCAGGACCCCCAGTGAGTGGATGTGAGGGCGATCTGGCTACGACATCTGTCACCCCATTGATTACCGGGGTTGATTTGGCTGATCTGGTTGGCTAGGCATGTGTCCCCTTCCTCCCTCACCGCTCCATGTGAGTCCCTCCCAAAGCTGCATGCTCAGTCGAAGAGGACGACCTTCTCCGATAGAGGAGAGGACTGTTCTTCTGTCAAGGGTATACAAGTAGCTGAGCTCCCCTGCTAGAACCTCCAAACAAGCTCTCAGGGACCCCAGTGAGGCCAGGTCCAGAGGCTGGAGGCAATAAGGTAAGGAGTCAGACTCCTTGTTTGTGATCTTGGGCATGCTTGCCTGAAGCCTAATTTTTCTCTAGTTTGAGGCTAATGAGCTGGTATCTCCTGTCCTGCATGGGGAGTTACAGTGGAGACAGACCTAAGTCCAGAGATTCTTGAAACAGAACTGAGTACTGTGTTGACCAGACCCATCCCAATGGACTGCTGGATGTCACAGAGCCATCTAGAGCTTAACCTCCCCAGGCCATGTTCAGACCAGCCTGTCCTCCTGCTGGCCCAGCCTCCACCCCCAACCACGGGATATCACGGTTGTTCAATTACTCACTCGACAAAGCACAGGCCCCAAGGCCCATGTCTTAGAAGCCTCAAAAGTGCCCCAGAGAGGCCCTGCCGTGAAACCTCAGACAGCTACTTCTCTGAGCCTCAGTTTCTCCTCTGTGAAAAGGGTACAACCATCCTTGCCCTGCCTACTTGATAGGGATGGTGTCAGGCTTATGGGATCTAAAGGACATGAACTGGTCTTATAAAGAAGTCCTTTATAAAATGCCCCACAGCCCGACTTTGTGAATGGAGCATCACAAAGGGAGCCCCATATGCCAAGACCTGCGGTACTGATCTCATTCTCACCATCCGAGTGCTTTGTTCTTTCCTTTTCCAGCTTGTCAGTTTCTTCCCTTAGCTCTAGAATGGTTTGATTTCATTCAAAAGTCTGCAAAATGGGGTCCCAGGGGCCATGTCCTACCTGCTCCTGTAAGGTCTGGGAACTAAAAATGATTTTTATAGATTAGCATTTACCATTGATTTGATGATTGGGATCATTAACTTTGAACCCCAATTGAGTAAAATATATCCCCTTCCCCGATCCCATTCTTCTCATTAGTAGACCTGTGTTACAAAAAAACTATATTCAACTATTATTGTAATTATAATCCCATCAATAAAAATTTGTTTTCTCTCTTATTACGTAAGTCTCTACATAATTCCCTCAATTTTGCCTTGGTCTGCAAAGCCTAAAATATTTATTGTCTGTCCCGTTACACAAAAAGTTTGTGGGTGTTTGCCTCTATTACAGCGCTGACACTACAGCAACAAGATGGTCATAGTTTGCCAACCCTTGAAGTAGAACACTCTACGCCCTTGGCCCTTTGGATTGATTTGGAGAAGGGCGAGTACATTTCTTGCAGGTCCCAACAAGTCAGCATTTGCTTGATCCGTTCACTGGATTGAACTGGGCAGGATGTGAGTGAATCTAACAGGACTCCCTCTAAGGACTTTGAGAGTGAAGCTCACCCAGGAAAAGGCAGAGTTAGCAATGTAGGAAACCCAATGGCATTGTTTTAAGCCCTTGGATCACACATCACTTGCAGTGACTGCCCTACCCCTTGATTATTCTGTTATAAGAGCCAAACAATTTTGCATTGTTATTTAAGCCATTTGAAGTGAGTTTTCTGATATTTGCACAAATACAAAAGCACAAAAGATGGTGTCTAATCCAGCTCAGGGTATTCAAGGAAAACTTCCAAGAGGTGGTGTCAGCTAAGCTGGGTCTTAGAGTTAGTGGTGAAAACAAGTGGTGGGAAAGGTATCCCAAGCAGATGGCAGGAGAGGAAAGAGCACGGCACCCTCCACAAGTTCCAAGTGGCAGAGCTGAGAATGGCCAGGAATGGGGTTGGAATTTCAAGAAAGGACACCTGTGCCCTGTGCTCCAGGCCAAGGTGCTTAAATTTGGCCCCGTGGGAATGGTTCTTGAGGATAGTTTGACAAGTTCAGATTGGCACTTTAGATAGAGCTTTTTGACCACCGTGGAGGATGGACTGGAGGGAGGCATAGGGAAGAAGTCAGATTAGAGGTGGGATGGCAGTTAGGAGGTTACTGGAATGCCCAGGTAGAAGATGATGAGGGTTCAGACCAATGGCAGTGGGAGTGGGGGTGGAGAGGAGGAAATGACTCAGAAATATTTTGGAAGCCACATCCACAGGACTTAGTGACTGATTAGATGTGCAGAGAAGAGACAGGGAAAATCAAGTGGTGATTTTTGGTTTCTAGAGTGACTGGTCAATTTGATGCCACGACTGAGAAGAAAATGCAGAAGTAGGGCATGTTTTGGGATACAGATGATGATTTTGGTCTGGGGTATGTTGAGTATGACATCAGTGGAGGTTCACAGACATGGGAGTGGGAGCGAGGTCTGAGTTAGAGACATTACTTGGAGCCACCAACTCACAGATGGTAGTTAAAACCATAAGAGTAGATGAGATCGTCCAAGAGCTTGTGGGAGCAATGGGTCAAAACTGAAGCTTTGGGAACACCAAGCATTTAAGAGGAGATAGTGGGAGGTGACATGAACCCACAAAGGAAAAGTCAAGGAGGAGACGAGAAGGTGGAGCGTGGCAGGTGCTGGCGCCCTGCCCACATCTCTGGTACTTACCTCTAGAGAAGGCTGCTTACTGCCAACACCTGCTATTTGCTTGAGGGTTTTTTCCTGGCCATGGAAACACTCTTGGCGCCAGCTCAAGGCAAGCCGGAAGTGCTGGAGAGTTAATGTGCCTGGAAGCAGCCTTCAACCAGTGACCAAGAGGGAGCTGGAGGATAAATACCCCGCTTCCTTGCCTGGTGGTGTGCATGACTTGAGGCATGTCTCATACAGCTTCCGGAGTTCCCCAGCGGGATTGCACCCCTCTTGCTCACGTGGTAGCATAACTTTCATGATGACACTCCCTGAATTGGCTTCCTGCCCTTCTTTCTCACTTTCCCACTTCCCTACTGGTATTTCCTAGGACTGATTCCCGAATAAACTACGTGCGCTAGAATCCTTGTCTCAGAGGCTACTTCTGGGAGAACCTGAAATAAGACAAAGGTGTCGTGAAAACCAGACAAACAGAAAATTCCAAGATGTTCTCTCCATGTAATTTCTGTCTTCGGAGGGATCAGGTCACCCTGCCCCATACGTGGTGCCCACTTCCACACTCACAAAAGAGGTAAGCCAATTTCTCCCCTGGCCTTGAGGTTTTCATCAGGAGACTACACATTCCCTGTAGTCCCATCTCGCTATCAAGAAATCCTTTCCTATCTCTTACCTCAGTTCCCCTCTGCTTTTATAGGGGCTGCTATGTCCAGGGAAGTGTGGTCTCAGCCCCTTGAATAACACAAAGGCTTGAAAAGATTCCTCAGCTTGGAGCCTCTCCCTCCCTTGTGCTCCTGGCTTAGTCCTCTCCTTTTCCAGCACTCCAAGCGGCTTTCACTTTTTTCCATTTGTTACACGTCCAGCCTTGTAGATGTTCATCATTTCTCTTTCTGTCTGTGACCCAGGTACTGGCTCTGACTGCCAGTTAGTGATTCACAGAAAGGCAGGGAGCGATGGGTGGCCTAGAAACACTCCCTACTTCCAGTCAGTGACACTTGACCCACACTGCTCTTCACCTCTAACCTCTCAAGGCAAGAAACCAAGGGGAACGAAGGGACTTGAATCAGACTTCTGGGGGCAGGGAGACGGGCTCTCACTAAGCCATATGGTAAAGCGATGTGTAGATATAGAAGAGTGTCAGGTGTGAACGCAGGCACTTTGCTTATGTAAGTCTGGAAAACTGTGTGTGAGTTTCAACCTCTAGAAGCTTTGGTCTTGTCATTTGTAAAATGAAGATAATAGCAGTACCTACCTGACTTAGGCTAGCTTCCCCCAGAAGCAGCCCTGAGAGAACTATTCCAGTCCACGTGGTTGATTTAGGAAACTCCAGGAGAGAAGTGGGAGAAAAAGATAAGGAAGAGAAGGAAGCTAATAAAGTATATCATCCACCCAGCTACGAGGGTGGGCTCAGTCCTGCTGGGGAAACCCTGGGAGTGCACAGAGAACACACACCTCAGAGTTATCTCCCCAGAGGGGTGAAAGAGCGGGGGTATTTATACACCACTTTCCATCTATCACGGGTAGAGGACTTTCTCACACAGTGGCAAAGTGGAATCCAGTGCCCAGAGGCCACCTTCAGGCAAAACCAGGCAGGCACTGGTCATCTGAAGCCTCAGGGGTGTAGGTGGTCAGGGTGTCATCAAACAAAACAGGGCACCAAAGATCTGGCATATCATCTCAGAGGGCTGTTGGGAGGTAAAATGAGGTCACACATGAAGAGTTGTTAACACAGTGCCTGATGCCAGTGATTCTTCTCTAATCAAGATCCAGCCTTACCCCAGGCTTCAGAAGCCTGGCTCAGGGACTTCCTGCTGCCTAATAACCATGAGGGAGGTCTTGGGGGCTGGAGGGTTCAAAAACAGAGGAGATTAGTGGAGAAAAGGCCAGAAAGAAGAAGAGGTGCAGGAAACCTGGGAAGGAGGTGGGCCCTGAGGTCCAGGTCAGGCATGGAACATGATGTGGACTGTGTGTGGAAGAAGCGCCAGGAAAATGTGTGAGTCCCACTGCATGGGCCCAGTTAGATGCCACACATGATAAGGGACTTATAAAGGCTCTAATCTCCCCCCTTATATCCACCCTACATTCATTGCCTCTGCCATTCATGGCTCTGCCTTCTCTTTAAAAAAAAAAATTAGGACTACCATGGGGGATCAGGGATACATCTAAAAAGTATCTGGTATACAGTAGGTGCTTAATAGGTGGTGGCTATTTCCAGTGTGAGGCTATCTTGGCTTTGACTTCCCTCTTTCTGATTACACCTCACCCTCCAGTGCCAGTGGCCAAGACTCCAAACCCCAGGTCCTCAAGCTCCCATGGGGAAGGAATACTTCCTTTGCAAAGCACAGAGTTCTAAAGGGATCCCCACTGGACAAGCAGAAAAGGAGCAGGGAGGAGTGATGAGAAGAATGGAGAGCACAGACCTTTGGAAGGAGGGGATGACCCTAAGGGAGTGAGAGTGCTGCCTTGTCCCATTTTCTATCCAAGTCCCCCACCTGCTACCCTGACCCCCAACTCTTGCCCTCCAATCATTGAAGACACAGTTGTTGCTTAAGTTCTACAACACCCAGCTTATACAGGCAGGGCACCAACTTGCCCTGAGGTGTCAGGCTATTTTTTTTTTAGCTTTGCTCTAAATTATCAAATCATAATCAAATCAAATCAACATGCATTTACAGTGCACCTACTATGCAAAACAAACGATGCTGGGTGCAACAGGAAATCCCAAAATGGCTAAAATCATGGGCCCCTGACCTGTTTATTATCTAGTTGGAGAGATGAGACATAAATGGCTAAACAGTTAACAAACAATACAATGTATTTAAAATCACTAGGTGCTTATTAAATAAAAGTTAGCCAACAGCACATTGTAGCATCAACATGTGTGCTAAAGACGAGCGGGAAAGAGATGGTAGTGGCTGGGGTAATCAAGAAACAACAGTAGCTCCAATCTATCTAACTCCTACATTGAAAAGAACCCTACATGAGTTATACTCTTCCTCACCACCTCTCTGCCAGACCCACATATTTCTCCCTATTCTGTAGTTGAAGAAACTGAGATTAAGCCCCTTGCTTCAGGATTTCAAGCTTGAAAGTGACAGATTTGGGATTTAAATCTAAGCATCTT